AAGGAGGAGGAGGAGGAGAAGGAGGAGGAGGAGGAGAAGGAGGAGGAGGAGGAGGAAGGTCGTCCGATCGCCGCACGACGTGGCGAGCGTAGAGGAAGCCAAGCCTCCACCGGAGAGCGGCCGACGGAGGATTCTGTTCCCTTCCTTCCTTTTGCGGCGATCGGCGAGGGGGAGTTGCCGACAAGTGAGCATCCTCGTTCGCACGTCGTCGGCGAGGGGGAGTTGCCGACAAGTGAGCATCCTCGTTCGCATGTTGTCGGCGAGGGAGAGCCGCCGACAAGTGAGCATCCTCGTCCGCTCGTCGTCGCCGAGGGAGAGCTGCCGACAAGTGAGCATCCTCGTCCGCTCATCGTCGCCGAGGGCCGTCCGAGCGCGACGGAGGAACCAGGAGGAACCTTCGCGCGAGGGAGAGGCCTCGCCGGAGAGGAGGTCGTGGACTTTGCGGAGGGGCCGGCGAACGGGTTCCTAGAAGGAAGCTCGGGAAGGTGGCTGTTTCCCGCGGAGCCGAGTTTTCTGCCTGCGGGAGGACCTGCGGAGGGTGGCGTAGAAGGAAGGTTTGACGTCCGGAGGAGAAGCGAGGAGGTGCCGGCTGGATCACGAAGAGGTGCCTTTGCAGACACGCCAGAAGAAGATGTTGCAGAACATGACTTTGGTGGAGGAGATTTTATAGGACCAGTAGAAGAAAGCTTCAGACTGCCAGTAGAGGGAATACCGATACAACCAGGAGAAGGAAGCCACAGACAGTCCATAGAAGGAAGCTACAGACAACCAGTAGAAGGAAGCCACAGACAGCCCATAGAAGGAAGCTTCAGACAACCAGTAGAAGGAATCTCAAGGCAACCAGTAGAAGGAAGCTTTAGACAACCAGTAGAAGGAACCTTTAGACAACCAGTAGAAGGAATCCCCAGGCAGCCAGTAGAAGGAATCTTCAGACAGCCAGCAGGTGGTAGCGGCATCGCAGGAGAAGCCAGTGACGCTGGAGGTGCCGGTCCTACTAGTGATGTTCCCCGCTGGCCCCTCGCACCTCCTCCCAGCTTCCTCTTCGAGGGAGAAGGCGAGAGCTACCCGTCCGCAACTCGTCGTGGCTTTGCATCGGTGGAGGGTTCCCGGCGAAGCAAGCGGCAGGCGGGCTACGTCCCGTTCAGCAGCAGCAATAGTGGTGGGGACCCGATGGGAATCCTGGTGGTGGAGGAAAACCACGGTCCGGCGGCGGACGGAGAGAGACGCCCGTTCGACGCCAGGATGCCCATCTATAACTCAGGTTTGTGCGTCACTAATTGTAATTAATCGATAAAAGAGTTCTGAGTATCGAATTTGATATGAATAACATATGTGTGGATATTTAGTTAGCTCGCTGTGTCGACCGAAGCACAGAGCGTGCATCATTAATTGTTTTTCATTAAAAATTTGTTACAAATCATTAATAATTTGTAATTAATTGATGAAAGGGCACTGAGTATCGAATTTGATATTAATAATATTCTCGTGTATATGTGAATATGTCTATATTTAGTTAGGTCGCCTTGTCGATGCGAACTAAATACGTCGACGATTTCACCATTGCGTTTAATTGCAATTAATTTTAATTGCAATTAAATTGCAATTAATAATTTGCAATTAAAATTGCAATTAATAATTTTAATTGCTTTAATTGCAATTAAGAGCACTTGGTATCAAATGAAATTTGATAGGAATAACATTGTTGTGTATACATGGGTACACGTATGTTTATAGATGTAGTATAAATACGTGCTAATACAACCAATTGGTCATGTATAAATTAAACCGTAAAAATATTCGCACAATCTCGCACCACAACTCTGCGTGTATTTAGCCGCGAAATCTTCTTCTCCCCCGCAGACTTCCTGTCAGAGGAGGAGCCGAGCGAAAGAGAGGACTCCAAGCTTCCCGGCGGCTTCCCCCTCGTCGCGCCGTGGTTCGACATCGCGGGGGAGGGGGCGCCGGGGGAGAGCGGCAGCGCGGCGGCGAGGGACCTCTCCCAGCTGCCGACGTCGCTACCCGCCGTGCCAAACGAGGGCGCCACCGAGGGCAAGGGTCCTCGCCGCCAGGGTAAGATGACAGGACTAGATGGGCATCGGGGGGGGGGGGGCATTGACACTAATTCTAAGACTAATTTTAACACTTATTTTAAGACCAACGTCAACGCTAATTTTGTTTCTCATCAGAAGTCATCAGAAGTCTTAAACCCGACTAATTTTAACACTAATTATAAGACTAATTTTAATACTAATTCTAAGACTAATTTTAATACTAATTCTAAGACTAATTTTAACACTCATTTTAAGACTCATTTTAACAATAATTCTAAGACTAATTTTAACACTAACTCTAAGACTAATTCTAAGACTAATTTTAACACTAATTTTAAGACTAATTTTAACACTAATTTTAAGACCAATTTCTGATGGCCTGTCGTTTTCATTGTTCTTGCCCCGCTGTGGTCGCTTGCAGATAAGGACAACGACGTGGCGGGCTACGGGCGCGACACCTCGCCCGACCTCGTGCAAGCGGAGCAGTACGGCGAGTCGGAGACGCGCGTCACGCCGCACGCGCTCAGCCTCACCCGCATCCGGCTGAAACTGAAGCACGAAGCCACGCTTACGGGCAACGCGTCGCGCACGTTCGTGATGCGCGGCGGCGGCGGCGTGCTGCAGCAGGGAAGCACCTACGTGGTACAGGTGTCTGTTACAGGTGAGTGTGTGCAGGTGTCTGTTACAGGTGAGTGTGTGCAGGTGTCTGTCACAGGTGAGTGTGTGCAGGTGTCTGTTACAGGTGAATGTGTGCAGGTGTCTGTCACAGGTGAGTGTGCGTGCGTACATGTGTGTGTTATACAGGTGGTGGGCACCTACACCGTACAGGTACATTGTGAATTTATTTCGATTCACAGATAAAATCAACGGCAACCAGAGTTCAGCCTTGACGTACTTCAGTGTGAATAAAGGACCGAGGTTTGGAAAGTGCACAGTGCAGCCGGAAGTGGGTGTGGAACTTGAAACGGAATTCAAAGTCCACTGCATGGAATGGAAAGATAAGGTAATAATAATGAAATGATTGTGAATGGATCAGTCTTGTAGATAGAGTAGGGTTACAAGGTGGGCATGCTACAATTAAAGGAACCGGAAAGTGTGAAGAGTTTAGATCCAATTTGATCTTTTGTTCGTAGCACATTCCCAATTATTGGAATAATTGCTATTAAAATCTGTCAGTTTCATTATTATTATTATTATTTTTATTTTGTTTACTTTATTCATTTTCCTATAGCAGAATGTATGATGTTTACTTAATATATGTAGTTTAAAGGTGCACATAGTGCTGATGTAGAGGTTTGACAATATTTCTCATAAAGAGTGGATATGGCATGCTGGCTATCAAAACTGCCTTGCCATGATAATGGTGGCAATTCATCTCAATGATAATGGTGGCAATTCATTTCAATGATAATGGTGGCAATTCATTTCAATGGTGGTGTTCTATGACAAATGTTGATGATGATGATGATGATGATGATTATGATGTTGATGATGACTGGGTCTTAATTGCAGAACCTGCCGCTGTGGTATGAGATAAGTTACGCGTTGGCAGACAACGAACCGAGGCAACTCATCTATTACGGATTCCACCATGAAGCCAAGTTCCTGCTGCCGAGTGGTACGGAGGACAGGAACAACTCAGGTAGTCTACCATCTATTCCATCTTGTTACCTTTTTTAATCTGTATATATTTTTTATTACTATTCAGTTCATCCATCCAATAAAGCAGTTTAAAATCCATATTAAATATAAAACCTATATAAACGTATATAACATCCTTCCATATTAAAAAGAAAAAGAAAAAAAATTAAAATGGTATAATAAAATCCATATTAAATATAAAACTTATATAATAATAAATATCCTTTCATATTACGACAAAGATTTAAGCGACATTATAGCAGTGCACGTGTTTCAGTGAGCGTGCGCGTCGCCGTGAGAGATTCAATTGGCGGTCGCACCAGCGTCTGTGCGATGGCCGTCGCCGTGCTGCCAGCCAATGAGACGGCTCTGAACATCAACCATCTGTACGTATCCAACACACGCTTCCGCCTGTCTGTACAGTTCACTGTATAGCCGTGCTGTCGTGTCGCCTGTGATGACTGGTGGTTTTTGGTCTTGTCTTTCATTATTATCAGGAGCTAATAATGACAAATTGTCATTATTGACTCCTGTCAATAAATTTGTAAATTGTAAAATAAATTTGTAAATTGGAAATTGGAAATAAATTTGTAAATTGGAAAATAAAATTGTAAATTTGTCATTATTAGCTCCTGTTATTATGAACACTGAAATGTGTGTGCGTGTGTCTGTACGCTTCACCGTATAGCATCTACCCCCACGTGTCTTTGTCACCTTTGCTGTATAGGGCTGTGCTGCCGTGTCGTCTGCCGTAACAGCTACAATGACTGCTGGTTTATATCTATAATAATAATGATAAAAAATGATTAAAATAATACAGTGAATAATAAAAATAATCTAAATGTTTCAATTCATACGGGTTACTGACATGGCCAGCTAGACAGCAGGTGAAAACCGTGGTATTGTTATAACGTAGATTTGCATAGTACCACGTAGTTCATCACGACACGTTGCCTCATCTACCCGTGTGTGTACGTAATCTAACTGTGTGTGTGTGTGCAGGGCGGCCATGACGCAGGGCGCCGGCGGGAGGCTGCGCACGTACGTTGCCCACGGCGACGAGTACGCAGCACGTCACTATGCCGCGGCTTCGGCGCGAACGCTGGACAGGCTGGCTGCGACGGCAAGGGATAAGGATGCTGGGAAGGAGGAGGAGGAGGAGGAGGATGCGATGGGAGAAGAGGATGCTGCGCAGGCGTCTGCCGTCAGAGCCGCTCTGCTGGGCGTCGTCGCCGAGCTTCCGCTCAGGACCGAGGTAACGAAGCCTAACGAAGCCACACTAACGAGCGCTCGGGAGTTTATAAAGTAGCTTTGGGCGAGCGAATATATGACGATATATGATGTACAGTCAACTCTACTAATGCCGACTACCTTCGGGACCATCCGTTTAGTTCGGTTTTCTGTGACGTTCTGTTTATAGGGGGAGGGAGGTTATTCCAGGCATATCTTTGATGTCTTGGATGGCGTTGGGACTTACCGTATATGATCGCGTAATAACCACGAGCGTCTATAAGCCGCACCTCAATTTGAATCGGGTAACCAAGTATTGCGCCTAGTATATTTCCCCTCACGGTATGGCGCACTTATAAACCGCAGAGCAAATACAGGGTTGAAATCTGAGGCCAAATTTGCGGTTATTACGCGAGTATATACGGTAAGAAATCATCCAGTTTAACGTGAGATTCGGTTTTGAGGGCGGTGAAAATTTTGGAGAATTGACTGTATATGATATCAGGGGTTAATAATGACAAATGTGATTATGGCAATGGACAATGGATAATGAAAATTAACCCCTGATGATATGAATACGTGTATCCTGATTGATTTTGTCCCGCAGTTCGACTGTCTGCAAGCTGTGACCGATCTGGCTGCCATCACCAGCGCCCCACGTCAGCTAACTCCCGCGACCCTGAAACTTGCCATCGACTTCCTGAAGGCGGTAAGGCCACTTTTGTGCTTATTTTCACGTCTGACCAGTTGGTTCGCTATGGAGCTTTTAAAGGGACATAAATGAAAAAATATTTTAATTTGTTTGAACTTGTTCGTTGTCGTTTCTCAACAAAAAGTTTATTTGAATGAAGTTTTTGTCATTCGAACAAACTTTTAAAAATATTTTTTCGCTTTCAGGAATGCAGTTTTACAACTTTGAATGCAAAATTTTTTGTGGGGACTGAATCTAGATAAGTGCAGATTAGTTGTGAAAAAAAACAGCGATAACAGGCCACAAAGCTGTTTTTCTCTCTTCTTGTTTCTAATTGCATAGCAGCTTGGCTAGAAGTGCGCGTGTAGATTCAAGGATTATTTTATCATTTTCGTATCCAGCAATGCAGCGAACTGATATTACAAGTGATCTCTTAAAGCATCGTGTGCATTCTTAACTCACAACTCTACTACAACGGCGTTGTAAATTCTTTGTGGCATGTGTTCCCGCTCCCCTTTAGGTGGTGACGCGTGTGGCGGATGAGGCCACCGACAGGTTGGACGGCGACTTCGTCCACTTGTTCGGAACGGCTGCGTCCAACATCCTACGCGGCGTCGTTGAAACGCAACCGGGGGCGTGGCTAGCGAAGAGGGTGATGTCATCAGTAGAGCTGTCCGTCACGAAGCTAATACGGGTGTGTGTGTGTAGTTACGTATGCGTAGTATTTATTATGCGTTCTTGGAAACGCAACCTGTGGCATGGTTAGTGAAGAGGCTGATGTCATCATGGGTCGGTGTAGTTATGTATGTGTGAGATTGTGTTCTTACTGGTGAGTGTTTGGGAAGCAAGTTCGTGTCCTCTCGTTAGTACTGAGAAAGGAAATAGTAGAAATTAATTATTAATAAGTAGTAATAGGGTATAGTATAGTATAATAGTAGAATGTATGTAGGTATAGTAGTTATTGTTAGTATTAATTAATCAAAGAAAGAAGAAATATCTTTATGATGAAATCGTTTAATGTTTTGTGCACTAGGTGGAGCTAGGATACCGCACCCAGGATGAGAAGCCTTTTAACCTGACGACGCCGTTCGTCTCGGTGCTGGCGTCTCGCTATGTGGTCGCCACGGCAACTACTCTCGCAGCCGACCACGCGGCTTTCACGCTTCCGCAGCAGATGCTTGGCAGTCGCCACGGCAACGGCACGGACGGATGCTACGAGGCACACATGCTCACCTTTCACCAGGATCCGTTTGGATGGGGGAAAAATCCGGTGCGAAAATAGTTTTTAGTCCTTCTCTGTGCATATAATCACTAGTTTGTTTGGCCATATGTTGCGGGATAGCATAGACACAGGTTGTGTGTATGTTGTGCCGAAGGTTTTTTGATAGTTTAAATTTTATGTCTTGCATATGTAATATTTGTATGTTTTTATGTCAAGGGTAAGGGTCTTCTATACTATGACCAAGACTTGAAAGAATTCACTTGTCAGTAGAAGTCATTATTCACTATTCACAAGTCATTATTCAGCACCATCGTCCATGTTTTGTGTTTCGTATCGTGTTTTAGTAAAATGCATGTGAAATGAAAATGCGGTGATTATTTGCCTGTTCTTTGCGATCAGTAACAACACTAGCTTCATTCTGATTCAGAGGTAGAAGTTAACGTGTTGCTAGGTGACCTGTTTCGTTTACGATTGTCGTGTTCAGGTTGAGTCGGAGGTAGCCTCACTCACTGTCTACACGTGTGACGGCGAGGAGGTTGTTGTCAAGGATCTGTCACCACGGCAACAGGTTACCATGGAGATACCGCGACAACATACCGAGGTGAGAAGTGAGGTGTATGGAAGTGGCCATCCAAATTTGGACACCGTGTGCTGTCTCGGTACTTTGACCTGTTAATTGGAAACCTTGGACATACATTAATTTATATACATATACATGAGTGCACATATGCACACACCCTTTCATACATACATATTTATATAAATCTACATAATATTTGATGTTTTTATCATTTGTTGTGATATTTCAGCTGCAACCATTTGACAGCGTTTGGGCTAGCTTCCTGACACCACAGATGACCTTCATGACAGTAGAGGTCGAGTCATTCTTAGGTATGCATGCTTCCCGGTTTGTCTCAAACGATTGCAATCACTCAACATTTAGTCAGCTCAAACAGAGCAGTATTTCCTAAAGTACTGCTATCGCCATAGATAATCGAATCAAGCTGTCAGATTTTTTGTCTCAAATGATTGCAAATTTATGGCGTAGTCCCAGTACGATTATCGTCAGAGATAATCGAATCAAGCTGTAGGTTTTTTGTCTCAAATGATGCAATCGTGCAAATGCTTGCAGTATGTTGGAGCAAAAGTCGATCGTAGTCCTTGAGTACCAATCGTCAGTGATAATAGAGCTATCAAGTTTTATTAGCGAAACGATTGAAATCGTGCAAAAGCTGCAGTGTCGAGGCAGAATTAGGGTAAGTCGATAATGTCATACAACCATAAGTGTCAAGTACTGATATCATCAGAGATAATTGAATCAAGCTATCAAGTTTTTTTATTACGCAAAACGATTGAAATCGTGCAAAAGCTGCAGTGTTTCGAGGCGGAATAGGGGTAGTCCGATATGTGATCA